CACATTGGTGAGGCCAAAAATGAGAAAAGCCAATGAGTTTCTCATCATGGGGGCTGATGTTGTATTTGCATATGAGTATACTTGTGATGAGTGAAAAAGTAGCAGTAAGGAGCCTGGCATGGGCCAATTTTAAGCTATATTTTCTCCTGACAAGTCAAGGGCTCTGAAGGACAAGTGCCTCACATTTCTAGTGTGGTCCAGTGGTAGGATACAGTAGTCGCCTACAACTGGGCACTATTTCTAATTCTGTCCATCCACTCTTGCCTTTAGCTTACCAAGAATGAGGCCAATGACACAAGAGTGGAAGTGTAGGTTCAGGAAAGAAGGGCTTGGGGTTGTTTCTTATATCCTTAGATTTGCCCTACTCAAAGCACTTCCATCAGCCACAGTGGTTTTGAATCAAAAGATGTGAATCAGAAATGAAAGCTAAAATCATAACAAGGAGCTACTAGATTCCAAACCAAACCTGGAAACTAGAAACACCTGAGCATACTGCAAGTCGCCAATAAACTCTGACATATTTGAATTAGTAGCTCATATTTGAAATTAAGTCCAATCAAGTCATTAATTCTTTTTTAAGTGACATATGAAACAGTAAAACTGTGGAATATATCTTTGTAGTGAAATAATTTTGGAAATATAGGACAGTGTTCAACTTGTTTTATTGTACCTTTTGGAATATAAGAATACTAAAGTCACAAAAATTTGGAACTTCATCAAAGTAGAAAAAGGATTCAACTTTCCTGGTTTCAAAGGAAAGTCAACTCTGTATTCTTTCAAAAATCTAGGAGAAATACTTGGCCTGCAATTAACAGATCATGTTCCCAAATTTCTGGCAATTTACATTTGGGGGTGATGGTGATTGTGATATCAGCTTTCTCAAAACATATTTGCCTTAACAAAGTAGATTTCAATCCACTTTATTTGGTAAAGCAAACCTATCCATCCTAAAAATCAAATAGTCTGAATTTGCATTAAATTGACCCCCATGTTACAATAGCGGCTTGGATACTTTTCCTACCATAAAGTAACTCAAATCTCAGCAATTTTGCTAGTGAAATGGATCCTAAACTAAATCATAGTCTATTTACAAAACCACTTCTCAATGCTGACAATAATACCTGAGATTCGTCGATGGCTTCATAAGGTTAGATGTTTCCTCACATTATTTTATGTATTCACCACAATAATCCTACATGGTTGAGAGAGCAAATATTCTTCAGCTCATTTTACAAAATAAGAAAACTTAGAAATGGAGATAGCCCAAGATGTTCCCAGTATCACCATATGGGTAGAGCTGATGTCCCATACCACATTTCATGGCACCTATTCTAGAATGACCCCTGGGGTCTCATTGGGTTTAGTCAAAATCAGAAGAGGTTTAAGCATGGACTAATTAGTGACAACATCAAAACCTGAGCACCTCACAATGTGGTCAACTGATTTTCAACAAAAGTGCTCAGTCACTTCAATGAGGAAAAAAATACTCTTTTCAATAAATGGTGCTGAGACAACTGGATGTCCATAAGTAGCAGAATGAAGTTGGAACTTTACCTCACACCATACCCAAAACTTAAGTCAAAATGGATCACAGACCTAAATATAAAAGATAAAATTTCTAGAGGAAAGCAGAGCAGTAAATCTTTATGACCTTGAGTTAGGCAGTGTTTTCTTAGGTATGACAATAAAAGCACAAATGGCAATAGAAAAGAAGATAAATTGGACTTCATTAAAATTAAAAGAAACTTTTATGCTTCAAAAGGCCCCATCAAGAAAATGAAAAGGCAACCCATGGAATGGGGAAGATATTTGTAAATCACATATCTGATAAAGGACTTGTATCCAGAATATATAAAGAAATCATACAATTCAATAATTAGAAGACAGATGACCCAATTACAGAATGAGCAAAGGATCTGATTAGCCATATCTCCAAAGTAGATACTCAAATGGATAGTAAGGACATGAAAAGGTGGTCCACATCATTAGCCATCAGGGATATGCAAATCAAAACCACCATGAGATACCAGTTCACACCCGCTAGCATGAATAAAATAAAAAAGACAGCAACAGGCATTAACAAGGATGTGGAGAAATTGGAACCCTCTTGTATTTCTGAAGGCAATATAAAATGATGCAGCCCCTGTGGACAACAGTTTTGCTGTTCCTCAAAAAGTTAAACAGAGTTGACATGTGACCCAGCAATTCTGCTCTTCTATCAAGGAAAATGAATACATACATGCACATGAAAAACTTATACATGAATGTTCACAGCAATATCATTTATAGTAACAAAAAAAAAACAGAACAACATAATGTCCATCTAGTAAAATATGAAAAAACACAAAGTGATCTATCCATACAATGGATTATTTAGCACAAAAAGAAATGAAGTACTGATACACGCTGCAACATGGATGAATCTCGAAAACATTATGCTAAGTGAAAGAAATCAGACAAAAAGGATCATATATTGTTTGATTCCATTTATATGAAATGTCCAGAACAAGCAAATCCATAAAGAGACAGAAAGTAGATGAGTGGTTGCCTAGGACTGGAGCTGGGGCAGGTAGAAAGAATGTGGAGTGACTGCAAATGGGTATGGGGTTTCTTCTTGGGATGTTAAAATGTTCTAAATTTAGATTGTGATGATGATTGTACAAAAAATCATGTGTGAATACACTAAAACCCACAAAACTATCCATTTTAAATGGGTGGATTTTATGATATATGAAATGTTAAGGCTGTGTTAAAAAATCAACTCCTTTTCTCCCTCGTCCCCAAATAAAACAATCATTAGAATACAATTTTGTGTTCACACAGTCCTAGGAACCGAATCAATCTTATTACCTACATATTGAGTGACTCCTGGTGATAACTACTTGCTTCATTACATTTTACCCTGTCTCATCTTGGAAGCTTATTTTCACTATCTATTCATTAAATAATAATTTTTGAATGCCTATTCAGTGTCAGACATGGTGCGAGATGCTTGGGATAGGTGCTTCATTTAACACAACAGCTGAAGATCCCTGCTCTTATGGAGTTTATGTCCTATCAGATTTACTTTGATTGTATTCTCAGGTATACTTTAACCCTTAGGGTTCATTGTAGTTGATACTTTTCAAGACTAAGGTGCTGTCAAATCAAAAACAGAGCTGGACAGTAGTTAAAGCTGTAAAAACATATTTTTATTTAGGACTATTACAACAGGGGGAAAGAGACCTCAGTACAGAATGGGGCTCAGCCCCCAACACCGTATGGACAAGTGGGAATTTATAGCCAAAAAGCAAGGTGGCAGTCAGTGGGTGGAAAATGACTAAGAGGAAACATAAGGGGTGAGGTGAATTCTAGCTAAACTGACCCAAACAGGATTCTTGCTGAAGGCAGGCCAGGGAGCTTGGACATCACCTGGGGGATGATGGGGGATGAGGAACCCAATCAGATATTAAGGGTGAGAAGATAGGAAGTTTAGTGGATTCTGATTAAACCAAATCAGCAGGATTCTTGTTAAAACTGGATTTTTACAAGGAAATGCACAGATGGGCCTAGGAGACTAAAGTTTGGTCAAGCAAAGAGTCTTTATCAGTGCTACTGTCCAGAAATTTCACTCCGTCCATCATAATGTGTTTATTTTATCAATATGGTCCCATCCTTTTCACAGCTCTTGTCATCTTACTTGAAATATTAGCCTAACTTTCATATTCTGTATTTCTCAATCAGTATATTTTTAATTTTTTCCTTTGTTCATTAGACAAATATTTATCAAATATCTCTGTGTGTTAATCTGATGTAGGACATAATCTCATGGTTTGCTGCAGATGACCATCATCTTCTCCATAAGAAGATGTCTTAAGTAGTCTCTATGTTGCATCTGATAATGATCAGGAATAAAATTCAAGAAATCCTGGGCCTCTGGAAACAGGACATGGCTTCACTGAGCAGCCGTCAGTGGGTTTTTATCCTGAACTCATGTCCCTACTTTCAGTTTATCTCATTCATAGAGAATGAAATTACTCCAGTTAAAGTCTCCCAAATCAAAAGGGCTAATGACCGGGCCATGTCTCCTTCCTGAGATAATCAGTGCCATTGTCATTCTTTGTAACATTACAACTTCTCCTGAGGCTGTGTTAAAATAATAAAACTCAGGCATGCTATTCCCCCCCATCTCCCGCAGCTGTGAGTTCTGAGTTTCTGTTTGTGAATAAGCATTTCAGAATTGTCATGAGGTGGAGGAAATAACATACATGGAGTATTTCCCAAGCCCAGTTGCCAAGAATGAGCTCATTGTAAGCATAAAACGAGTCTTAGAAACTTGAAATACAAGCCATTCTGTAATGATTCACCTTTCCACGAGAATGGTATGGTTTCATTATAGGACCTTGGTCTTTCAGAAGTATACCACAAATAAAATTTAAAATTATATCACAAGATTAATAAAATATTAAACTATCTTTTTTATATTTTGTTGATATTTTATAGTGATTAAATACAAAATTGATGTTTGTATTTAAAGGAAATGTTAAATGTAATGCAAGCTTGCTACATTGCTTTTGGAAAATGTATCTAAAAGACGTTGATAGTAATCTGTCCTCCATAAAAGAATAAGATTGGTTGGTATTTTAACACTTTTTATGTTTAACAGGGCAAATTTGATACTTTTTAAAAATATAAAAGCAGGAATTGCAAATATATTGCACATCATATGCCAATTTCCAACTAATTGGTAATGGCTATGTACATGTTGTGTTAAGAAAGATCTTGAGGCTGAGTTTGGCTTAGCAGCAAAGGTTGCTATCATTGGATAATAATGTTTTTCAAGGATAAAAGATAGGGAGTGGGCATGTAAGTCCTATATTTGCCATCCTTGTGTAATTGGAAAAGGAGTTAACATTTTAAAATACCTTTTCAGAGATGACTAGAAACATACTAGTCTACATTAAAAATAGTATTTAACTGAAAACAAAGGCCAAAGTAACACCATTCTACTTATCCTCCAGGTCAATGCATCACGTCAAGAAGCCAAATTGACAGAAGAATGTGATCTTCTCATTGAGATCATTCAGCAAAGAAGACAAATTATTGGAACCAAGATCAAAGAAGGGAAGGTATGGTTTCTAGAACAGAGGATTTCATATTCTTTACCTGGAGAAAATATACTCCCATACACTTCCAGTGGCTTTGGAAATGTTGAAATCCCTCTTTTGCTACATGTTCTATTTCTATAATTCCCTCTTAAGTCTGTAAGACTTAGTTCAAAGGCCCTTGCTTGGCAAATTTGTCTTCATCTTTTTCTTTGTATTATCATGGTCTCCTGTACACACCTGTAATACAAGAGCTATTTATTCCATTGCCCAATGCCGGGAAGCATGAAGGTCTTGCTATCACAGCCTCTGTTTTTTCTCTCACGTGTCTGTGAGAAGGTGGGTTCCATGGAGGTAGAATCCATTTTCTATTTTTTGCTATAAATTTATTTTGTTTCATATTTATTGCTAGGATATTTATTGCTATAACCTAGCAATTATCACAGCATTAAATAAATTAAAAATGAATCAGACTTTATATGTAGAAATTATGAAGTAGTTTCCCATGCCCTTCAGGGAATTTAGGCAGGTTATAACTTCAGAATGGCAAAACTCCTATAGTTTTACTATATCATATACTCCTTTGTGGTTATATTAATAGTACTTCTTTTCTAAAGTTTATATGTTTTAATTTCCTATGGTTTTACAGCAAACTATATTCAAAAAGAAATTTATATTATATTCTTTATAACCACTTTCTGATTTATTCAAAATTCATTCAGAACTGTTAGTAACTTTAGAATCCATCACTTTATTCAATTTTTTAAATGTCATATTTTTATTGAAATACTTATGATCCTTTTTATTTTTCCCATTCCTCTGTTACCTTCAAAGGATATTTTTTCTAAATATTTTTAAAAATGGAAACATATATTTATGATCCAAGAAATTAATGAGTTTCTATTATTACTGCTCATGGCTATACTTTGATGAAATATATATAATTAAAACAAACTAGCAAGTTTTAAGTAAAAAACACAGAAATTACAATGGCTAATATATGTGCTTTTCTCTGTTTTCTACAAAATTTAATAGGTACCTTTTAATATTATGCAATGTTTTAGATTACCCTGTCTGTACAGATTGAAAAATATTTATGCATGTAAACTATAATGATGATCTGAAAAATTAGTCAAATTAAATACTTCTTGAAGCTGGTACAGTGGATTAACAGATCAACATAAAAGTATTCCCTGGCCTAGGACTGACTCACATGTGCTGAGAAGCTACTTTCCCTCATATCCAAATAATCTCATTTAGAAGAGCACTGAGTGTCCTTCTAGAATCCTTGTAAGATATATTTCCTCCTCCATCATCATCATGCACCACATGTGCACATTTGTTAACTCCACACATCTTCCAGCTTCTCAGAAGCATAGCTGTCTGAAGTACAGCCACAATTAATTGTGCACATGCATACAGAAGGCAATTTGCTATCTTTACATGGTTGCATTCAGGGACCAGCTCTCAATAATATCTGGGTTTTTTAATTTTACTTTTTATTATAAATTAACAAATAGTTGTATATATTTATGGGGTTCAAAGTGATGTTATGATTTAAGAATACAATGTGGAATAATTAAATCAGGCTAATTAACATATTCATTCCCTCAAAGACTTATTTTTTGTGGTGAGAACATTTGAAATGTACTCCCTTAGCAATTTCAAAATGTACAATACACTGTAATTTACACTGTTCACCACGCTGCGCAATAGACCTCAAAGTAAAAAAAAAAAACAACTTATTCCTCCTCTCTAATTGAAATTGTGTGACCTACTCGTGTTCATTTCTTATTGCTCCTATAACAAATTACTCTAAACTTGGTGGCCTGAAATAACACAAGTTTATCATCTTAGTGTTCTGGAATTCAGAAGTTCAAAATCAACCTCACTGGGTTAAACTCAAGGTTTTGGCAGTGCTGTTTCTTTCTGCAGGCTTTAGGGAAGGAGAGCCTTGCCTTTTCTAGCTCTTATAGGCTGCCCACACTCCTTGGCTTATTTTGACCTCTGTTTCCACCCTCACAATTTCTTTTCTGACTCCGGCCTTCCTGCCTCCCTCTTTTAAGGATCCCTGTGATTCCACTGGGATCACTAGATAATCTAGGGTAACCTCCCCATCTCAAGAGCCTTAACTTAATACGTCTGCATAATTCTTTTTGCCATGTCAAGTAACATATTCAAAGATTTTTGAGATTAGGATATGGGCATCATTTTGAGCCCTTGCTCAGCCTGCAGTGGCACTCCACCACAACTTCCCAGCAAGCATGACTTCTTTTCCTCGACTTAACTTGGACTTCCCAGCATGAGGGTTTCCTCTCATGAGCTAGATCAGGGTAATAAAGGGTGTCCCCAAGTTCCGACCATGGTAGCACATGGAGTTCATGGTTTGGTGCATTCACTTTACCCCAAACATATGTCAGTAATCAAGAACATAATAAAATGGAAAAGCAGTGAGACATGGCTGGACCAAAAACAAGATAAACATCACCATGGATCAAAAATGGGACAAAATGGCAGCATCATGATTATGGCTAAAGGCATAGGCTACTAGGATCAGGTCTGGAAGAGCCTGAGGCAGTTATAGCTTCAATTCCTATGGATAAATAGTTCTTGAAGCTTTGGGGAAAGCATCTAGAAGTGTTCCAGATGTGATCTAGGAGTACTCCAGATGGGGTGGGGGATGGAAGTTAGGCTCCTTGTGTAATGCCTTTGGCTGTAGAAGGCTTCACACTTCATTAAAAGGAACTAAAAAAGATTATATTGCCAATCTCTATCTAGTGTCATAGCTTTTAGCAAAGTCAAGTCATTAGGTTGCAGCCTATGTTCAGACTGTTTCTGATACCCACACAAAACAGGAGCCTCAGAAATGCATACATAAGTATAGGATTCCTGAATGGTGGTGACCTTAAGGGCCAGGTGAACTGTAAAACCATTAGATAGGGTGGGCTGAGCAGGGGGTTGAGAGAGAAAAGAATTATAAGTGACCTCTTGCCTTTAAAACTGAAATTCTTTGCTCAATTAGAAAGCATGTAAAGAAATCTTAAATTTCTAAAGATACAGCCAACAAAATCAGCAGACAACATAATGTTACCCCAGATGAAATTAATTTTATGGGAAAATGTGAAACAAAACTTTAGAAGTAGTCTTAAGATGTTCAAAGAGATAAATGAAGGAATAGCTTTTAAAAGAGCAAAAAAGTGAGAAAAAGGAAATGAAATAAAAAATAAATAGGAAAGCAACGCATTAGCAGTTTTGGAAGGAAAAATGTAGACACTGAAATTGAAAAGAAAACTCAGCTGCAATGGAAATTTGGAAACTGAGTTTTGGCCTCCACCTTGGAATTCCATAAGTATAGGAAGGCACAAAAGAGTCTCAGTGACATTAAAGCGTAGCAAATGCCCATTGAGTTTGAACTCAAAAAATAGAAAAGTACATATGAAAAACTACACATGGGACACTTTTAAAAAATAATAATTACATTGTTGGTTGGAAGGGAAGTATCAGCAAATTTCAAATTCTCAAACAGGAGGCCCCAGGCTCAAAACTAGTGCCAGTTAAATACAGCTCACATGGCAGTTAATGTGTTAATTGTTGGTTTATTCTGGGTTTTTTTTTACTACTTCTTTACCTAAGTTTTCAAATTATTGGCATAAAAACATTCATACACTTTTCTTATCTTTTCTGAAATCCATATTGTATTTATCCTGTATTTGTTTGTGGAGCTTCAGACTCTTTTTTTCCTTTATCAGTCTTACTACAGATTTGTCTTTTTAATTATTTTCTTTACAGGCATGAATCCTCTTGATCAGGGATTGGCAAGCATTTACTATCAAGGGCTGGAGAGTCAATATTTTAGGCTTTGAAAACTACATACTATCTCTGTCATATATACATCTTTGTTTTTCTTTTTTTAACAATCTTTTAAAAATGGGAGGGAAAAAACTATTTTTACTCACAGGTGTTTCAAAATTAGACTGTGAACTGTTCTTTGCTAATATCTGCTCTTGTTTGTTTTTTGTTTTGCTTTCATTTACTTCTCCTTTGCTTCTTAGTTTCTTTAATTTGCTTTTATTGAATTTATTCTTTTGTGCTTTTTCTAACTCTATCTGAAGGCAAATTTTTTACTTTTAATATCTTTTCTTTTTGTATTTTAAAGAATGGAAGGCTATAAATTTGCCTTCAAATATTTTTTGCTGCCTATAACTTATATAGGTCTTTCATTATGGTTCACTTTTAAATTTTTTAAAAATGTTGTGAGAATGTTTTTATATAAGAATAGAATTTAAAGTTTCTGAACATTGTAAAACTATTATTTTATTGCATACGTAACTCACACACCTCTTCACATTAGGAGCTGCAAAAACTACTTTTCATGTTGCATATAACTCATGCACAGAAAAGAATAAAAAATAACACATTTTTCATTAAATTAGAAAGGATCATTTTGTTTTTGAAGTTTTTATTCTATTTTTGTCATAAAACACCATGGTCCCAAGGAAAACATTTTTTTTTTCTAGTATGGCAGTCAATGTGTTAAAAAGCAAAGGTTATTTAATCATTTTTGTAGATTTTCCTCAATTCACATTCCCCCTCCAAAATGGCACCAGGCCCCAACAGTTTTATAACTTATTTTAACAGAAGTTCAAGGAACTGATAATCTCATTCTCATTTAAGCTGCTTCAGAAAATAGAAAAAGACATCTTTTTGCAGATTGTATGATCTTGATACCATATACAGACAACATAAAAATTGAGGAGGTAAATATCACTTATGAAGCTGATTCTAATTTTCATATTGAAATGCAAAGGCTATAGAATAATCATAACGAATTTTAAAAGACAATAACAAAGTTGGAGAACTAACACCAAATGATTTCAAGATTTATTACAAAGCTGCAGAAATCAAGATAATATAGTATTGGCATAAAGATAGACAAATAGATCAGTGGATTGACAAAAGACTTCAGAAATAGATTCACACATACATAGACAACTGATTTTCAGCAAAGATGCAAAGGCAATTTA